TCAATAACATATAATCAATCAAGTAAACATCAATACATCAAATGCACTAAAAACCATGATTTTCGCTATATAGACCGAATGCATGCCTATGTGAAACTAGATAAATTTTTCAATTTTAATGTCAATTTTCATGCTAAATCATCTAATTACAACTCAATAAAATTTTTTTCATTAATTAAACATCAATCAAACAAAAGCACAATAAACCCTAAAAATCACTATTTAGGCTGAAAGTTTCATCATGAAGTAGGCTATGAAATTTTGCATTTTTCTTTTTTTTTTTCATGCTTAATTAGCATATTCTAACTTTAATTTCATCAATTTCACCTTTCAACCCATTTTCCCTAATTTACTTACATCAAGAACCCTAACCCTAATTCATTAATTCATGCAATTAGACTTAAATTAATTGGCAAAACCAACAATTCACATCCAATAGCAAATCCTTGTGATGTAGGTGAGATTAACTTACCTTAAAACTCCACATGAGTCCTTGTTTATGGCCACTTTTTTATCTTTCATGGCCATTAACCTTCTTCTTTTGTGGTCACTTTCTTTTCTTTCATGGCCATTCATGTCTCCTCTTTAATTTTAATATATGTTTCAAAACTTTTGCTCTTCTTTCATAGCCACTAACATTCTATTTAAAAGCTATTAAAACTTATTATTATTTTATTAATTACTACTACTACTACTACTACTACTACTACTACTACTACTACTATTTTAATTCTTTAATTCCTAATAGCTTAGCCTAAGATTGTAAGACTACTTCCTATCCATAAAAATACTATCTATAATAGCCAAATATATATATTATATCTTAAAACTCCATACCAAATCATCACATCATCTAAACACATAAAAAAAATATTAAGTTACACACACAAATAAAGCACATTTGCACATTATTATCATGCAAAGCTTTTTGGTATTACAATCACACACTCGGCCAAAACTTCCCATTTTACCTAAGCTAGGTAAAATTTTCTTTTAGTCACCTAATTCACATATTAATCCATTTAACTAATAAAAGCTGCATTAATTAAACCACCTAACAACCATAATTACCTAAATTAGACTTTAAAATATAATTTTTTCCTAACTTAGCCGAATACACACCTAGTTTAAGCTAAGTGGATTTTTCAATTTTAATGCTAATTTTCATGCTAAATCATATAAATACACTTCAATAACATGTAATCAATCAAGTAAACATTAATACATCAAATGCACTAAAAATCCTAATTTTCACTATATAGGTTGAATGCATGCATATGTGAAACTAGATAAATTTTTCAATTTTAATGTCAATTTTCATGCTAAATCATCTAATTACAACTCAGTAACATGTTTTTCATTTATTAAACATCAATCAAACAAAAGCACAATAAACCCTAAAAATCATTATTTAGGTCGAAAGTTTCATCATGAAGTAGGCTAGGAAATTTTGCGTTTTTCCTATTTGTTTTCATGCTCAATTAGCATATTCTAACTTCAATTTCATCAATTTCACCTTTCAACCCATTTTCTCTAATTTACTTACATCAATAACCCTAACCCTAATTCACTAAATTCATGCAATTAGAGTTAAATTAATTGGGCAAAACCAACAATTCACATCCAATAGCAAGTCCTTGTGATATATATGAGATTAACTTACCTTAAAAACTCCAAATTAGTCCTTGTTAGGTTGGATTTCCTTAAAAATCTTCATCCCCCTTTTTCCTCTTTAAGTTTCAACCACTTTGCTAATTTTTCTTCCTTGGAGTTTTTGATCTTCCAACTATGATTTTAGGTCTAATTGAGTGTTTAAGTTTGATTTTAGTGTTTAGGTGAACTTGGTTTGTATTTTCTTGGAAAAATTTGCAAGATTTTGGCTTAATTTTTCAATTTTTTCAACCATTTTTCTTTCTTCGTTATGCCAAAATTTATAGGCGTAAACGGATAGACTTGATCCATCTTTTAATCCTAGCCCTTCATTTGGTGAAATCTCCACCTTCCATTTTTATTTAAATCCTAGCCTTCCATCACATTAATCTCTAGCCATTCATTTGTGTATTTAATTATTACATTCATTAGTTATGGACGTAAGGCGGCAGGTTAAGGTGGAAATAATTGGCCAAAAATTTCAATTTTAGTCCCTTGATTTATCACACTTTTTCAATTTAATCCCTTCAATTTTAATTAACTACTTTTGGTCCTTTCTTAAGACTTTTTCAATCTCTTTATGCCTCCTTAAATTTATTTCAAAACTTATTTGAGGACTAAAGCTCGTTAATTTTATGTAATTGAATCTCTAATTTTATGTAATTAGGTTCCTAACCTTATGCAATTAAATCCATATGCACATAATTAATTCCACACATTTCTGAAAAATAATTTCTTTTCACCTTAAATTCATACACTTTCTATAGTAATTTATTCATCAATCACATAATTTTCATATAGTCATTTAGATATTCAAAATAATTATTTTTCATAAAAATGCACTATTCACATAGAAAATATTCACTAAAGATAGAAAAAATTCACTTAACCGCATGGAACAGTCTTACACTCCTCTAGCAATTTTTGTATGCTCATAGAATAAATTTTATACACATTTAAAATACTCAAAGCAATTGTTTTACATAAAAGCACTATTCATGCATAGAAAAGTCTATAAAATATTCACTGAGTATAGAAAAATTATTTTAAGTGCACCAAATATTCTAGCACCCTTTTAGCAATTATTTTATGAATGCAAGATAATTTTCACACACCTTTAATATATATTAATTTATTTATTCGTAGGTTCAAGATATTACACACATGAAAAAATTTGAAGGTTGACTACATCTCATGCCCTTGTACTATATTGAAAATATTGTTGCAACACCTCTATCTATATTTACTTTACAACAAATTTTGTACTATTGAACGTTGGTGCAAAACAACCTCTTCATTAAACTTTTTCTATCGGATTGATAAATTTTATTAATTGACGAACATCTAACCAATTCAGCCACGATGTGTGTAAAATTAAAAATATATATATATTATTTTTTTAAATAATTTTTTTAAAAAGTTAAAATAATAAATTATTATTATTATAAAATAATTAAAATTTTGAAAAAAACCAGAATTTTTTTCAATCTTTTTAATGAATTTATAGTAATTAATATTAAAGAAATTTAAAAAATAATCCAAAGAAATGATTTTTTCCAATTTTTAATAATTTTATAATTATTATTATTACAAAAAAAAATTTAAAATGTAAAGAAGTTTTAATGAATTTATAATAATAATTACTAAAAAAAATTTTAAAAAATATATAAGGAAAAGTTAAATAAAAAACATAAAAAATTAATTATCGAATTTTGTTTTTCAAATATTTTTATTAAAATAATTAATAATCATTATAAAATTATTAAGAATTTCTTTAGATTTTTTTAAAATTTTCTTTGTTAATAATTATCATAAAATTGAAAAAAAAATTCTTTAGATTTTTTAAAATATTTTCTTTATTAGTAATTATTATAAAATAATTAAAAATAAAAAATTATTTATATTTTAAAAAAATTATTAATAATAATTATAAAATCATTAAAAAAATGGTTATTTTAATTTTTTTTCCAATTTTTGAATTAAAAAACTGATTTTAAAATAAAATTATATTTTCATCCTTAAATTAACATATGTCGCGACTTGATTGTTTAAATATTACTCAAATAACAAAAATTGGTCAATCTAATAAAAAAATTGACACATGAACTATTCTACCCCACCGTCTAATGGTATAATATTTGTTATAAATTGTATCTGTGTAAAAGAGTTGCAATAATATTTTTAATATATTAAAACATACAGAATTTAAGGTGAGACTTTAAATATTATATAAAAATCTATTTATCCTAAAATATAGACAAAACTATGTTGATACTCAATGGTCTAATGGAGAGAGGAAGCTTTTTAGGAATAGACCCAGGACACAACCAAAGTTTCCTAATTGCAAAGAGGAAAATATGAAGACAGGAGGTATTGATATAGGAAAAACGAGAGTAGGGAGCTCAACCTAGTGGAAGCAGGACTAGGGAACCATCTTTATCTTTTTGGGTCCATTACTCCATTGGACTGTTTAAGCTCACAAATAGTTTCATGAGTAATTGTAAGAGAATATCTCTCACGTGTTGTTTTGCTATCCTGCACGTTTGCTATAGGTCAATGAGAAAAATAGGAGTTCGAAACGTCCAAAAGAGGAATTAAACGTCCAAATGAATATCTATGATTCTATCTTTCTCTCCTTTCGTTTTTTTCTTCTTTCGTTATTTTTCTTCTGGTTAGCTCTTCTTTCAATCGCGCATTTTAACAAACACCTTGAATCATATTACAAGGTATATAATCCAAAGAAATTGACCTGATAATTGAACAAATTTGCTCTATTTTTTTTATTTTTGAATTCAAACTTTAGAACTAATTTATAAAAATTCATTTGAATACAGATGTGAACATTACATTTTCAAAAATAGCTTAGGAAACTTTTTATCTCAATTAAAATACAAAATACAAACTGATCCAAAAATATACTTACCATAAATCAAAAACAAATGTTACAAGCCATATAGACACAGCCATTGAATCCAGACCTCAACTGAGGACTGCTGTCACGTGCCCTTGCATTACAATTATATATATATATATGCACATCAACCGGAAAGAGGAAATTACATTAGTACCCATTTATATAAACTAAGGGCAAATGTACATTCATAAGCGAATTCGGTTTCATGAAAACTTTTTTTTTCTAACAGTTTGCAATTTCTAGAATGTAAGTTCAGCATTCATCTCAAAAGGAAAAAAAATGGTAACATTATCTGCAATCGATACTCACTTGGTCGCTGAAAGACCCCAGCTAATAAACGAACTGTATTCCGAACTTCAATTTATCTCATCATACTTCAGTTTCATTCCTAAGAGCTGAGAAACTTCGCTGTTTTTGAAGGACACGCAATAATCACTCACTCGTCTTGTTCGAAGTCCATAAGGAAATCAGTCAAGTTTTCAGAATCATCGATTGCTTCTTCAAGACTCAGCGGACCTTCCTTTTTAGGTTTAGCCTGCAGGTTCAAGGAAATCAAAGAATTGATTCTTATGAGGGACTTGAAAAGTGTAGAAGTTGGTATACAGTATACCATGTGCTTACATGTAAGATACTAGTGCACAACTTCCCAATTCCCAAAATCCTGACAAAGGAAATATCTTCCGCTTCTAACATAGTGGAATTCTAGGATTTCGAAGGACACGAGTAATTAAAATATGTCTTTACTAGAATGAAAGGTTCAAAATCTTTAGCTATATTCTTGCACATTTTGTCAAGAATATAATATGCAACACTATAATATGGGGATTACATCGGCCTCTTTTTTCCACCTGAAATGAAATATAGGCTATGGTAATGAAATATTTCCATTTTAAACAATCTAGAATTGATAACACAAGAATGCTTCAGGACTGCGTGCATTTGCATGCACATGCATGTATCACATGAGGCAGGGCATTAGACATGATTTATAAGGACACGCCATCACCTTTGATTCTGGAGCCTGGGGAGTAGTTTTATAAACACTCCAATTGCGTGTAATTTTCTCCTCTTCCTCTTTCTCTTCCTCTTCCTCTTCCTCCTCTTCTACCTCACTATCATCTCCTCCCTCGTCCTATAGCAAGTGTGAACAGAAAGATGCCATTATGTATGAAACAGGTAACTTTAATTAAAATGTACAGCACCATACATTTGTGGTACATGTGGATATATAAAATAGATGATGGTAAAAAATGCACGGGATATGAAACTCACATCATTTTCACCAATGTCAACAGCTTGTGCCATAGCTTCATCCATGTCTGTCATCTGCTTTTTAGATCAAGAATTCAGTGACGATAAGTAAATATGAAAAACAACCAAAATTAGATACTGTTTTTTCCTTCGGAAAATTAGACAATTATCCAAAAGAATACAGAAACTTGTTTGAGTGAACATGTAAACAATAGCAAACTTGTAATTTCAGTATTTTCCACCAAACATGAGTATTTATCTAGCTACATGTAGGAAATATATGTATCTACTAATTAAGAAAATTTAAGTTTCTAATTTAGGTTTTTCCTACTTTAAATAGGTGTTGTAAATATAGTAAGTCAATTATGGAGCTAATTAAGGAGCTGATTTCTAGGAAGTTAATGACAGCTTGATTCTAGGGATTTAGATTGATCCTAGACCTGTATATATACATGTTGTACTCGGGCACTTCAATGTGTCAAATATATTACTCTATTCTCATATTTCTACATGATGTCGGAGCTTGCTGCCCTAATTGAGTAGCTACTATCGTTACTCTAGTGAGCTATCACATCTTTTTTCTCTTTTCGCTGCTGCCCTAGTGAGCCGCTACGACTTTGATGCCCTATTTTCCTTTTTCCTTTTTTTCAATGGCTGAAGGAACAAAGAAGAAAAATGTAATCTCCGATGTTGTTACAGTTTATACTGCAAACTTTGCAGCCCAAAAGGCTAGTCTTGCCTCTTCCTCATCTGAAAAGTTTATAATAGTATATGCTGATGACTTTGATCAATTTACTCGGTATCAATCCTCGCTAAAGTGTTCCAATTCGCCTCCAGCTATTAGTAATGAGACAAGTAAACCTACCACATGTCTTGTGTCATCCTCTTCTAAATGGGTCATTGATTCGGGTGCTACGGATCACATTACGGGTAATAAATATATTCTCTCCTCCTTCGTTTCACACAAAAATCTTCCTAGTGTCACTCTAACCGATGGGTCAACCACATCTATTATAGGAATTGGAACAACTCTTCTTACATCATCTCTTTATCCTCTCGTCTTACGTTTATCCAATTTTTCATTTAATCTACTCGTCAATCGGTAAAATTACTCGAGCTCTCAATTGTTGTGTCTTATTTTTTCCTAACTATTATCTATTTCGGGATCTTACGTCGGGGAAGATTATTGGTAGAGGACATGAGTCCGGAGGGCTGTATCATCTTCAATCTATATCACAACCTATACCATGACCTATCGCTTGTTCCAGTATTATAACACCTCTTAAGTTACATTGTCGATTAGGGCATCTTTCTTTGTTTGTTTTCAAGAAATTGTTGCCTCAATTTCAGAATTTATCTGCTTTAGAATATGTCATGTTAGTTTGCTAAACACCATCGTGTCATATTCTCCTAGAGTCAATAAACGAGTTATGTCACCTTTTGAGTTAGTTCATTTCAATGTTTAGAGTCCTTGTCTAGTGACTTCTACAACTAATTTTCGATATTTTGTCACATTTGTTGATGACTATTCTCGTGTTACTTAGTTATATTTTATGAAAAGTCGATCTATATTTCATGCTTTTTGTGCTGAAATTCGAACTCAATTTAATGTTTCAGTACGTGTTTTGATGAGTGATAATGCAAAAAAGTATTTCTCCGAGTCATTCAATACCTATATAACACAAAATGAAATTCTTCATCAATCATCATGTGTTGACACACCTCCTCAAAATAGTGTTGCTTGAATGAAAAAATAGACATTTACTAGAAATTGCTAGAGCCCTTCTTTTTAGATGAAAGTTCCAAAACAATTTTGGGCTAATGTTGTATCTACGAGCATGTTTCTTAATCAATCGGTTACCTTCCTCTATTCTTTCTAGTGATACTCCTCATTCTATTTTATTTCCTTCTCGGTCTTTATTTCCAATGGAACCACGTTTCTTTGGTTGTACGTGTTTTGTTCGTGATGTTAATCCCAAAATGTCTAAGTTAGATCCAAAATCTCTCAAGTGTGTCTTTTTGGGGTATTCTCGTCTTTAAAAAGGTTATAGGTGTTATTCTCCTATTTGGGTCGTTATTTGGTTTCAACTCGATGTAACATTTTTTTAGACTACTCCATTTTTTCATGAACCTACTAAATATAATTGTAAAGGGGAGGAAGATGATATTCTCATATATACTGTGACTACAACTACCGAATCTCATATACCCATTAAGCCACCTATCACTCAAGTTTACTCTCGTCGTACTCATCCACGAGATATTCAACCAAATCAAGACTCACATCCTCCGCCGACTCTTCCCTCTACGGATCCTAGTCTTGATCTTCTCATTGCTCTTCGTAAAGGTAAACAACAATGTTCTTAACCTATCTCTTCGGTTGCTTCTTATGACCACTTATCTCTTTCTTTGCATTGCTTTATTGCTTCATTAGATTCGGTTTCTATACCTAAAACATTACATAAGGCCCCGTCCCATCCCGGTTGGCGAACTGCTATGAAAGAGAAAATTATGGCTTTAGATGGTAATGGTAATTGAGAATTGATGCATCTCTCAAAAAGTAAACGAGGCTATTGGTTATAAATGGGTGTATGTTGTCAAGGTTAATCCCGACGATTCTATGGCTCGTCTCAAAGCTCGCTTAGTTGCAAAAGGATATGCTCGGACATATGATGTAAATTATTCTAATACTTTTTCTCCAATTGCTAAACTTGCATCCGTCCGTTTGTTTCTCTCTCTTGCTGATACTAATGGTTGGCTCTTACATCGGTTAGATGTCAAGAATGTTTTTCTTCATGGTGATTTGCAAGAGGAAGTCTATATGGAGCAACTACCCGGGTTTGTTGCTCAAGGGGAGTATGGGAAAGTCCGCAAACTTCGAAAGTCTTTATGTCCTCGTCCTCGGTTTAGGAGATTCAGTGCTGTAGTTTAAGAATTTGATATGAAAAAGAGTATTTGTGACCATACTATTTTCTACCAACGGTCGAAAACTCGGTATTGTCTTGTTAATTGTGTATGTTGATGATATTGTGATTACTAGTAGTGATGATGCTGATATTTTAGCACTTGAATCTTTTCTCCATACCAAATTCCAAACAAAGAACTTGGGTTTATTGAAGTATTTCTTGGGTATTGAAGTTACTTGATCCAAGAAGGATATTTTTCTGTCTCAACGAAAGTATATTCTTGACCTACCGAAAGAAACTGAAAAATTAAGAACTAAACCTTCGAGTGTACCAATGGCTACTAATCTACAGACTTACAATAGATGATGAGGAGTTATTAGATGATCCTAAGAAATATCGTAGGTTAGTTGAAAAACTAAATTATCTCACGAGTAACTCGTCCTAACATCACATATCCCGTCGGCATTGTGAGTCGGTTTATGTCCTTTCCTCGAGTTACTCATTGGGCAGCATTAGAACGAGATCTTATGCTATCTCAAAGGGACTCTAGGACGTGGTTTACTCTATAGTAATCATGGTCATTCCAATATTGATTGTTTCTCGGATGCGGATTAGGCTGGATCTAAGATTGACGAAAGATCTATTACGGGGTATTGTATTTTTGTTGGTGGAAATTTGATGTCATAGAAAAGCAAGAAGCGGAATGTTGTGTCTCGATCTAGTGCAAAATCGAAGCATAGAGCTATGGCCCAATCCACGTGTGAACTTGTGTGGATATCTCAATTGTTAAATAAGATTGGTCTTGAAAATCCTCTTCCTATGAAATTGTGGTGTGACAATCAAGTCGCTCTTCATATCGCATCAAATCCATTTTTTCATGAAAGAACTAAACACATCGAGATCGATTGTCACTTTATCCATGAGAAAATTCAACAAGGATTGATTTCTACAAATCATATCAAAACTGAAGAAGAACTAGGCGATATCTTCGCTAAAGCTTTAGGGGGTCCTAGGATTGATTATATTTGTAACAAGCTGGGCATGATTAACATCTATGCTCCAGCTTGAAGGGGAATGTTGTAAATATAGTAAGTCAATTATAGGGCTGATTGAGGAGCTGATTTCTAGGAAGTTAATGATAGCTTGATTCTAGGGATTTAAATTGATCCTAGACCTGTATATATACATGTAGTACTCATGCACTTCAATGTGTGAAATATATTATTCTATTCTCATATTTCTACAATAGGAAAACAGGTTATTAGCAGTCAGTATAATTCAAACTGCAAATATTTCATACATATAAATATGGATATAACCTATGCTTATTATTTCAGAATATTGATAGAATGAATAATTCATTTCCTGCATTTAACTGATAAAACATATTAAGTTTGAACTTTTCTTCGCTGGAAGTAATTCTTTAACTGAACTGGAGTGATGATAGTAGCTCTTTCTATTTGTTGATAACTTGTATATTTTTCAGATCTGATTTCAGTTCCTGGATCCCAAAACAACCTATTCCCTAACACAAAACTAATTACCTAGTATTATGTATTGCATCATATTGGTATCAGAGCTTAGGGTTTTTCATAGTATTCATGGGGAAAAAAAAATGGAGAATAGAAACTATAAGTAGGACTTGTGAGAGATTGTGAGGTTAGCTGATGCTCTAGCAACCATAGAAAATTCTGCATTGCAAACCGAAAACCAATCACTGATAGAGTCAAAAGAGCAGATTTCAACCCTAAAACAGTCAGCCAAAAAGCATTAAGAGGTTGCACATTCTATAGAACAGCCAAAACTGCAGGTTAAAAAGCTAAACAAGCAAGTGGAGTTTCCAATACAACAAGCAACACGATTTGCACTGCAAGCTGAAAACGAGAACATACAGCTTAAAACACAAGGCAGAAAAAGGAAAAGTCAAAATAGAGACCTCAACAAGAAGCACTCACCAAGTTCTGCTTGCAGAAAATTAAAGCAGGTAGTAATGAATTTCCTAAAGAGCAAAAACCAAAAAGGTGAAAAACCAGTGTGATGGTTAAACAGCAGGTTTATAATGAAAGAGTCCTTCTCATCCCATAATTCAGAAAAACTACACCATCACAACCAAAAATTATAACTGCAAAGAAGTTTAAGGAGTTTACTACATAGTCCATACGTATCTAAATTTTCTTTGCAATTGGTTCCTAGCCTACCATTCATTTCACCAATAAAAAGAAGTTTAACATTTTAGATGACCGGGGTAAAGTTCTGGCTAAGTAGCCTCTTCCACCAACCAAGAGAAAGCACTATCAAGTTCAAACTTCTAATTCAATGATCAAACCATAATTCAAGTTTAAGGAGGATTTGCTACTTTGATACTCCAAGACTCAAGCTCAAGTTTTGACATTTTATATGGATTAGGATGTATGTATGCATGGTCTCTCATGTCCTGATCACACATGCGCTGACTTTCCTCCCCCTATACATATGAATTTCTGATATATGGAACTCCAACACGAACGCAAGTATAATATGAAAGAATACTTTTGAAATATGCATTATAAGATAGGCATGATGTGGATATTTTTGCAAATGAGTCAGTCAGATATTTGTTCCATGGCTTGTACTCATCCATGAGTGTTTAGTATCATTTACTCAGCAATGGAAAACTCACCCTTCATCTATATTAACTTTTATGGCTAGCAGTCGAGTTCCGTCTGTATAAAAGTTTGTCATATGCTTCAGTTGGTATGTCCAACGCTCATTCCTCATTTGGGCTTATTTTATATCCATTTGATTTATATATGCTCGATTCGGCTTGCAAATCTGTTTAACTAGAGCTCCATGCTTGCTTCAGGTTCTGGGTTTGTTTTGAATATTTTTTAAATGACCACTTTAATGAAGTTAGTATTGGTTTGTAAAGTTGAAACTGAACAATAGGTATGACACAATTGTTGTTATACGTTTTGTACAGTTGGAAGCTTGCATGGACAAGGTGGACCTTAGGATCAACCCTATCTATCTGCTGGTCACATGCTTGATTTTCAGGCTGTGACAAGTACCGCCACTAACAACAAATGGATTCATCACACCTATCTGTGTCTAGCAAACTCTAAAACACACTAAAGTGGAAACTAACAGGAAACACATGAAGATGTGACAGCTGGAACCAAAAAAGAACAAAACCTCAGAGAAGTGTTTTTCCTAACAAACTAAGTTATGATGTTAAAAAACGTTAGAGAATAACATTATCCCATAAAAGGTTTAACAAAGAATGGAAATTTAAAAAAACTATTGAGCTTTCATTATTCAGAGTAAACTGTCCAACAAAAGCAGACCAAACCATACAAGGCAGTTTGGTTACGTCTACTCCTTAAAAGATATGGTTTTGTTTGTAAACCAAATTATATTTTTTAATACAAAATGATTTGGTTTTCATTAAAAAAAAAATGAAGAAAAGAAAGTAACCATAAACCATACAATCCTTATGTACAAAAACATTAATTTATGATATAAATATGTAAACAAAAATACAAAACTGTACCATAAACCTTCATAAAAATTTTAATATGATATTTTTTTCTCTTTAAAAAGCTTCACTATTGCACAATCTATTTTATCTTAAAACTCTGATTTAGTTATTTGTGGTTTGATTTTGAACTCAATATAAGTTCTTTTTAGTAGTCTCCCCAAGAATCTACAGGGGTTGCAATAGAAGCTGCTGAGTGGCCTCAATAAATAGTGATTGAAAATTGAGTGTTTTTATCTTGAAACCTTGCTTTCCATGTGCAAGAGTACACACTAGTTGAGCGTTTTTATCATGACACCTTGCTCTTTGGGTGCAAGAGTACAAACTGCTTGTGGTGAAAATATTTTACTTGTCTACAATCTACCCAAGTTTTCCATCCATCCTGTTGATTTTATGGTTTTAAATTTCGGTCGACATCGGATTGCGGACTTCAGTAGTCTAAAATACAGTTGTAGATATCATTGTTGCAAATCAATTAGCAGCACTGAACAATTCTTTTAGCAATGCATGTTTTTATAATAATTTTACAAAATAAACACCACAATAACACTTAACAGTAGTAAATATCATACAAACAACATGTCATAGCTAGAGTAGTAATTATCATTAATCATGATAACAATTGAACAAAGTAATATTATTTTTAATTTTGAGGTGTGTTCTTATTCAAGAGGAGGGTTATTATTTTTTCTACGAAATTAATGTTAATTTGTTCAATGAACCAAGTAGAAACACTGAGCCAAATGTTAATTTAAAAAATAATGCTAATTTGAGAAATTAAAAAAAAAAAAGTTTATTTTTCATTTTGAGCCAAGTTCCTATAAATCAGATGAACGAAACACCATAAGAAAAAAAAATTAAATAAGGCCCTTTCCAAATACATACATATATAAAAACCATGCATGCATTTTAATTTCCATGACTTTTGTGTTTATTTGTCTGGATAGAAATTAAAGACCAAGAAAGAGCAAGTTCATAGCAAATAAAAGGGGGTGATGGGAGGAAAAGATCAAGTGACATTACAAATATCCATCATACATCAACAAAGCATGGAAAAGAATATTTCAATTTGGGGGGAAATTATTGGAGGAAAAGATAATATAGCAAGTTCACGCTATCTGTTAATTACCTCAAGTTGTTCCGTCTTTTCTTTTGCCAGAATTTTTTCAAGCTCCTCCCTAGATATGATTTTGCCATGCTGATCAAAATTAGGGAAACAAAGTCAGCATTTGACGCACTGCTGTAATAATCACAGGTATGACCTAAAACATAGAATAATTCCACTCGCTTTGTAACAATTAAAACTTAGATATGTCAAAAAGAAAAATATTAAACATCTTCAGCAGACTTGAGAATAAAAAGCCAAGATCATGATGAGAGGGACTTCATCCAGTGGGGTTGGAATTCCTATATGCACGCACAATGCTAACTTTCTTTGTCCCAATCTTGCAGAAACTACCTTAATTGAAATTGGAAATCTTGACAGAACTAAAATGAAAGCAAACTACAAAGCCTAACCTAAATTCATAATTCATATCTGTAAGTGTCTTGCCATTCACTTCTGCTCACTGCTTAACAGGCTTCAATAAATCCCGCATAGAACCACATACCTCAAATGGTTCAAGGGCAAGTTCATCTGTTAGGTTGGCAAACCCAACCCTAAACTTGGTTTAATGTTAAGACAGTGAGTAAGATGTCCAAATAAGTGATCCAGTAGTGATAACACAAAAAATTAGATGAGTCTATCAGCTGCTGCCTTCATGAAAGACAAGGAGTAGAGAGACTAAAATGGAGGGGAACCACAAACAGTTGGGTGGTGACAAATTAATTTAATTACTGGTCCAATGATATGATCTAATAATCTCACAGCTATACTAACCTTAAGCTTTGTACTGTGGTCTCTAAAATTAAAAACTGACTCATCACCACTTATAAACCAAATCTGGGTTCATAAAATACCCCTAAAGTCACTTAAATCATCTACAAATGCTTGAATATAGACCTATTTGTAACATGATTAAATCATTTGATTTGGTTAGAATACTAACCTCTTTCAGGTAATCCAGCATATTGGGTGTTGGTTCATGAAAATCTGGGCCCCTGTAATCAATTATTTCATTTGGATCTTGAATGTAGTTGATGGTAGGGTAAACAGGATCTCCTCCCCAAACTACAAAGGCCAATAGAGTTATCAACTGCTACAGCACAACAGAGAATGTTTGATTACCGAACAAAGGAATGTTTCACCTTTCTTCCATCAAATTACTTTATTAACATATAGTAAAACCTGATAATTTAGGTAGGACAAGGTAACATGAAGCAGGTTGCTTTATAAAGTCATTATAAATGCAGGAATGAAAGGCACTTTCCCAGGGAAAAAAAAAAAGGTCAGAAACAGACAATGAACAATAGTCTGTAGAGTGGACAGTGGATGTTCCGGTACTACTATCAATTTAGGTTACGGAACAGCAAATTATTACAATAAAAGAACTGCACATACATGAACGTGCAGGTCCATTATGCAGTCGATCTGAAGGACATATAAACTGATTTCAAATATCACTTGATAGGGAAAAGAACAATGTGCTGAATAACCAACTGTATAGAAATTTACGCTTTATTCTTATTTAAGGACTAGCAGTGTATTTTGTTTAATCTTAGCTTTTGAGTTTTATTTCCAATTTTAGCATGGATTTTTGGGGTTTTGCTATGCCTGTCTAAGCACAAATATTTACGGTTTGAGAAAGACACTTCTCGGATTAAATTTGAGCATCTTGCATATCCCTTATTCTTGAGGATCTCAAGAATCTTAATTTCCATGTTGATCCAGTTCAAGAAATCCTCCTGTGGATCTCAGGGATTACTTAGTGATTTCTAGTTTTTGTATTTCCTTTGCTTCCCTCCCTCAATATACATCATATGGTAATGTGCACACACAAACAGACAAATGCAGAGCTACACAAATATTTTTCGCATCTAGATAAGTTTGATAATTAATATGATAAAAATTAAAAGACGGATAAAGCACAAACTTATCAGATTTAGATTAAATACTCTGCTTTATTTCATCCTCTCCCATTCTCATTGCTAAAGGATCTCTACGAATACGAATATCAGTCCCCATCATTATGCGAAATTCTCGATCTGTTTGATGGGAAAACATTGCAATCAGTTGGGCATTTTCATCTTCACCAGTCTCTTCAAAATGCTTCTGAATAGCTTCTCTTGAAGTGTCTGCCTTCCATGCTTTCACCCATTCTGAGTAATATGCTATTGGACCTATCCTTTCCAGTCTCTCTTGTTCAGCTCTAAGTCTAACAAAACCCAAGTGACATAAGCCAACAAAATTAATAAAAAATATTTACCTCAATAAGATACTGAATTATGAAGAGACACACAATGAGGGGTTCAAAATAGAGATCAATACTGTACCGTTCATCCTTGTAAAGATGTTTTCTAGCTCTGTAAAGAGAAACCTCCGTTAATGTTGGTTCCTTACCATAAAGCTTCACCTGCCCAGTTTTGGCCATTGCTTTGAGGAAAACCTGCAACATGTACAATCATTGCAAAGATACTTAAAAATCAAAAGTGGGTTTCTGAATTAATATGTCACAGTTTCTTTGTTTATATCAGTAGGATAGATTTGGAATTTGTGTCCTCCAAAGGGTTTGTGGTGAGCTAAGTAATCTAGAACCACCAACAAGATCACCAAAAACAAGAGAGACACTCAATCTTGAAGAAAACTCAGGTTTATGTTATTCATTAATTCAGGGATCCTAAACTGAATGTATGGGTGCTTATTTATATGCATCAAAGCAAATAAAATAACAAATCCTAATAAGTCATAATTCCATGAGGAAACTAGAATCCTAATTTAACTACAAAATAATGAATACTAATATTCCTAAATAAAACTAAAAATCTAGAATAATTATACCATATTAAAATTCATAAATAAACAAATATCAATTCCAATTAATGTTCTTTTTCAATCCCATCATTATCCTTGGTTGGAAAAACCTTGACCTTGAGTTCTAAAAGTGTTGAAGTAGTAAAAACTCCATGAACTTGCAAGCGCTACATAGTCCGATGAAAACTTTTTGCACTTAGATCCTTCGGTCTTCTATAATAAGATAGTCTTGCTACAATCCTAAATTTGAAGGAACAACAAAGTCAATGTGATCAACCTCTTCTTTAAGCTATCCAATGATAGAATCTTTAATTTGTGGCACTTCAAAATCGTTTGGTACAAGATTCATTGCTTTACCGTTTTCACCCTCAAAGTTATGCCCATCTTGTGTCTACACAATCTCAATTTCCTCTAACAAGTTTTCTTCAATGTCATCTAGAATGCATTCATCAACTTGTTCTACAATTTCAACCAGCTCCTTTTGTTAACCTATGCAGCTAAACCGTACAAACACCCCAAATTTATTGACCATTTTGATTGACACCTATATGTCTTTTTTCTTTTCATATTAATACATGAGCTATAGGGTGTTTGGATTAGGATTGCTTCTATCTACATTCACAACCAAGATTCCACCATTCTAACCATCAATCAACTCAAAAGACCACCAAATTTATCCTTTCAAAATCACTAACAACATTTCAATATCAAAATCCATTTTTAAACTCAAATCAAACTAAAGAAATTGGAGTTTTGTTTTCGATCCAACATTTCCAGGCCTTAAAACACTCAAATCCGGTTTATGGCTGGATTTAAAATTGATCGAATGAACTCATGTCGACCATACCTTTTATTTGGTGATGGTCTCGCCAGCAATAGTGGTTGGAACCTAACAGTAGGGATCCCAATCCAAATACCCTGTAGTTCAGGTACTAAAATCAGAAGGAAAAAAAAAAAAAGCATAAGTGGTGCCAATCAAAACGGTCGATAGTTCAGGGGTCTTTATACATTTTATCCAACCTATGTGCAGAAACAATAAGTGATCATACTCCCTTCTTCAACTCCTTTTTTTTTCCTTGACTACTGATTTTTTCTTCTTTTTTTCACAAAGAAAAATAAAACCGAGATTGATTTCTTCCGAAGTTGGCAGGCAATTCAGGGAAGAGAATAGATGAAGAAAATGAAAGATTCACGATTGAGGGAGAGAACAAATCTTGTTCAAACCACTCTATACCAAAACTGATGTAGAACTACCAGCAAGATCATGAAAACAAGAGACACACACTCAGTCTGGAAGAAACCAAAACAAGAGGGACACGCTCAATCCCAAAGAAAACTCAAGTCTATTTATTCAATCAATAATCCAATGATCCTAAAATGAATGTCTGGGCGCTTATTTTATAGGCACAAAACCAAATGAAATAGGAAATCCTAACTTAATTCCATAAGAGAAACTAGAATCTCAATTTAACTACTAAATAATAAATACACTAATACTGATATTATTAAATATTGCTAAAAATCTAGAATAATCATACAATATTAAAATTCCTAATTCCTAAATAAACAAATATCAGTTCCCATTGTTGTCCTTCATTACCCATCACTAGGGCTGTTATTTTTGTAGAATTAAAATTTAATGAGATTTGTTTTGAAAGAAATAAGGTTAGAAAAGAGTTGTGAACCATAGATGCAGCACTATAGCAGCTAAATATTAAGTAAGAAAGAAGAAAAATTAGGGAAAATCGAGGAACAAGAAAAAGGAGAAAAAATTAGAGGCATCAAGCCTTCAAAATAACATTAAAACTCAATTTCATTCATAATTCAATTTCTGTGGAAATAAAGCATAGCATTTGTCAAAGGACCATCTTACCCAAAACCTTAAGCTTTTAGGTGAGGCTCTAAGATATAATTTATATTATTCTCTAACACACCCCCTCAAGTGAAAGCTCTTTGGGCTTAAAACCTGCACGAGACCCACACTACCTTGTACTTAATTAATTAAAAAAGAAAGCAAGGGTGGTAGGATTCGAACTCGTGACCGTTTAGTCATCAAGGCTCGATACCATGTCAAAGGACCATCTTACCCGAAAGCTTAAGCTTTTAGATGAGATCCTAAGATATGATTTATATTATTCTCTAACAACATTCTATTTATAGGGATTAGGACTCCTTAAAAGACTAGATTACGGATCCTAAGTTGACCAGGAAAGCAACTAAATAGGAATAAATGTTAAAACACTAAGATACCAACTTCCTAAATAAGACTAGGCCTTCAAGCAATTCTTAAAATTACTAGAATACGCCTGATTTACAGGAACATGCTGAAATTACAATTCTGCCCCTCCTTACCAAATAATCATGAATCTTGACTCTAAACCCCAAACACTAATATCTACCAAGGGTACTTATTTTTTGACCAAAAGGCTTCTTACTTGTTGAAGAACTATTTAGTGTTAGCTTTGGGTTTGCAAAGAGGAGAGTGTTTCTCAAAGTATAGCATACATACTCCATCATTTATGCTCATGCAACACAATTAAACATGCAGAATGCAGAGTCTAAGACCCAAAAGAAAGAATGGAGGCATCAAAGGGCTAGCTAAAAAAACCGATGCATTGAATATTTTTTGTTGATGCTGCTTCAAGACTTCTCACATTTTAGTCACATAATATAGAATTGCATGCTTCAAAAGTAAATAATTCTTGACATGTATCCTAATGGATCTCACATGGCTATCCAAAGAACAGTATAATTGAAAAGATATTTAGACAGGAAATTGTTAATTTCTAACATCAAAAGCACGTTTACAATAAAATGAATAGAAGGGTCGAGAACAACAGGTCAGGTTTGTCCAGACCCATTGGGAACAAAGGCAGAGCAGCAGCTTTGTTAGCATAACAAAATGCAACCTTCATAAAAAGGTTATCAGTTAAAGTTACTCAAAACTTTTTCTATAATTGGCATACTAACCGTTTCAACATCAGGCTTCCTCCTTTGCCATCTGGACCATTGTTCATTCTCTGGCTTTCGCCAGTTCCACCATAATTCTTCCTCTGGAAGAGTTTCCTCGATTGGCTTCTTCACTTTTGGATCAATAAAGGAATGGGGACGGCCAAGCTTCTTGTCAAATTCATATCCGGTTTCTTCTTCCTCGGGTTCTGTATCATATATTACATAGTCAGATGACACATCTTTAGGCTCATCTTTCGTCTCCTCGGTACTTTCAGGTGCCTCGGAATCACTGAATTCTATGCTTGCTTCAGAGGATTCATGAGCAGCCACTGAAGCTTTATACTTTTTCCTCCTGCTTCCAGGCCTTTTGCCATATGATGGAGATCCTGCAGACAAGCCTGTTGGTTCAGGAGCCCTGGCAGCCCTAACTCGATCAGCAGTGCCTTCTGGCCAATACTCCTGTTCTGGAACACTAGCACGAGCACCAGATGCTGGTTCAAGCTGCCCAGATGTTGAGTCCATGTAGCTATGGTAGGGAGGAAGCTCAACATATACATTCTCAATGTCCTCATCCTTCTTCTCGCACTTTATACAAGGCAGTACAGGAGCCTTACAAATTTCCATTTTTCCAGCTGGAAAAGAGCCTATAAATGATGTCTGCATGGCAATTGTTAATCGAAATTATTCCATGTACCATCAGTTAATGGCAGATGAGATTGAACGAAGCATCTCTAACACAAAGCAGGACACAATCAAGATTTTACCATTATAGGTAGTCTAGTCATCCAATAAAGAATAGCACTATTTGCATCATATATTGTACTGCATGACTTTTAACATAGATTCAGAAGAGCTTAGTCTTCAACTCCCAAGAGAGTTTCATTGAATCCATCGCTCTGGTGTAGGCTTTTCCTTGGAAACACCACTCAACTCTTCAATAGTTGCAACAAGATTAGCAAATTTAGACTCTTCGCTGAACTTTGAAACAAGAAGGTACAGCAGCACCAATATTTTTTATTGGCCCTTCTTTAAAACAGAAAAAAAAAGCTTGTTCCTACACTTTCAGTATACTAATTTTTAAGCTTGAACTACAGCCCATATCTTCAACATTCCTTCTATTTCAAAAAAAATAAAATAAAATAAAATAAATATTAACCAAGTAACTGTTAATCAAATCCAGGAACTCAAATTTTTATTTACAATTAAAAAAGAAAAGAAAAGAAAGAAAAACTAAACCTGGAAAAAATGATTGAACCGTGGCTTCCCATTAACAAAGCTATCTGCAGAAATACTGCCCTTTAATCCTCTATCTGCTATACGCAAGAAAAAACTAGAAAAGAATTAATCTAAACACAATATGTTTGAGTGAATTTGAATAATAATGAAGCAGAAACCCACCGTGATAAAGCCAAGTTGCTGATAAAGAAGCCATCACTGTGACTGTTCCTTCTTTAGTAGGAAGCACATAAATAAATTAAATTATATCTCTGCTGCTGATCCTGTTTTATCAGTTGATGTAGTTCAATGGAGGTTCTTGTTTTTTCATGTGATTGGGAGTGACACTTTAAAGAATTGTAAGAGTTTTAGTTTGAAGGGTTTAGGGCTTTAGCTAATGGATAAGGCCAGAATGGGTTTCTTCCCTTTTTTTTTTTTTTTTTTTTGAAAAATAAAAAATAAAAAATGCCATAAGGGTTTATGTGGGGAAAAACTATGAATGGTTACATATTGATTTATCCGTCCATTTTTTCATTGAAATCAGTTATCATATGCATTATTTGACATGATAGCTTAGTTATAAATTAATTTAAATATCCTTCCAAAAATATGTCAAAAAAAAAATTAAACATATTAATTGAATTATCTATACAAAACTACAATTGAGAAAAAGTTTTTTTTTCCTTTTTATGTTATTTACTTATTTATAGATTAATTTCAATATCCTTCCAAAAAATATGTAAAAAAATAAAAATTAAACATATTAATTGAATTTTCTGTACAAAACTTCAATTGAGAAAAAGTTTTTTATTTTCCTTTTTTATTTTATTTACTTATTTATAGATTAATTTCGAAATCCTTCAAAAAAAATATGTAAAAAATTAAAATTAAAAATTAAATATATTAATTGAATTTTCTACACAAAACTACAATTGGGAAAAGGTTTTTTTAACAAGACACGTTGATAATTCTTTTCCTTTCATATTATTTATAGTGTTAGCTTATTTTATAAAGACAAAATTTTTATTGTTACCCATATGTTTATTTTTTAAAATTTTGAACTAGGGAATTTTTTTTTTTTCCTTGAAGCTAAATCCAACACTGCCCTTGTTTCTAGAAATTCTTTCAACTTTTTTTTTATTCATTGTCAAGCAATTCTTGAAAATGATTTTGTGAGGTAGTTGACGATCTATTTTTTCTTCGTTTTTTAACAATTTATAAAATAGTTTTATGATGTCTTTATCGCTTTGATGTTTCTCACTTGTTGTGAAGCAAAGATTCCTATGATTTGATGATTTTGCAATACCATTGTCAATTTGCTAGATTTGGAATTCTTGTGATTTGTCTTACCATTATCGAGTTACTCATGTTTGTTATGAAGCATAAATTTTGTGATTTGGCTTACCATGGTCATCTTGTGTCTATTTGTTATCGAGCGGAACTTTTGTGATTTTCCTTACTACTATTGGTTTGCACCTACTTGTTCTCGAGCACAACTTTTGTAATTTTCCTTACAATCATTTTGCGTATGCTTGTTGTCGAGTAGAACTTTAGTGATTTGCTTTACCATTGTCAATTTGTACCTACTTGTTATTGAGCGAAAAAAATTTTATTTGTCTTACCATTGTTAGTTTGTGCCTACTTGTTGAGTAGAATCTTATTTGTTTTTAAAGTTGTTATTGATTTAATTCTTTTTGTTGTCAAATAGAGTCACCAAAATATATTCTATCTTATCTCAAAATGAGGATAAGTCTTTGACGAGCAAAATCTCAAATCACCCTATTGACTAGCTTTTCACTTGATGGCAAATTTACTCAAATAGGCATAGACAATTTAGCATAATAAAAACCAAAAATAAATGTTTAGAATAGCATGTAATGCGAAGCATACTTTAGGTAAAACATTTAATGGTGGTTGTTATATTTCCTTCACTAGACCAATTTTTACTAAAGATCTCTATGAGACCGTCATTTAGGTTTTCTAGTTATTTTTAATACTAGGTGGTGACTCTTTTTCCTATCCTTTCCTTATTTCAAACGCACCGTTACGATGTCCACCTATAACAAAGTGGCCATTTCACTAAGGAGCTAAGGGTGAAGCATTACATGAATTTTTATGAGCATGATCTCTAGTTAAATTATGAATTTTTATGCCTAATTATTTAATTTTTGGATTATTTGTCTGTCTTTATTTGCTTATATGCACTAAATGTTTTATATATTTTGATTATGAGACATATGTACATACTAACACCTTTAGATGCTTTTACTATGTGACATATATGCTTTTGTATGATTGATTGCATTTTATAATGCTTTAATTTGTAGCTTATTTTTTTCAGCTTATCTTCTTATTATCTTTAAGATTGGATATGGAGTAATACTCATGCACCCACATTACAACACAAATTAGTTGCATCCACTTACCATAGGATTTAGGGAGGGATTAGTGGTACTCCGATGAGTTCCACCCAAGATAAATGCTTTCAAAATCTCTTTTTTTCATAAAGTTGTCACTATTGTGATCGGTAACTAACGGTAACCACTGTTGCACTTGGTTCGCCTTAGTTCTCTTTAAGAAATTTATTGAGATATTGAGCTAAAAGAGACTCTTATTGAGATTTACTTTGATCCTACCGAGTTCACTTAATACTACAAGATAAATGACAATTAGTAACGGTCAAAACCGTTGCTAAATCAAAACAAACCGTTGCTAAAACGGTTTCATGACTAATTAGCGACGATCAAGTAACCATCGCTAGAAACTTTTTGGTATTTTTTAACGATGATTTGGATCATTGTAAAATTAACGACGCTCACAAATGTTGCTAGTCCGTCGCTAAATGTCAATATAAATAGTTATGAAATTAGCAACGGTCCGGTAAACCCTTGGTATGCCCGTTGCTAAATAGAGACGGATTAACGACGGTCTAGACCGTTAGTAATATTTTATTGTTAGCGACGGTCTAAACTATTTCTAAGATCGTTGCTAATTGAAAAAATAATTTTTTTTACAACTATAATAAAATAACGTAAAAGTAACAATTTTAAAATAACAAAAATCTCATAAAATATCGTAAACGTAAATTTTTATTATTTGAAATGTATTAAAATGTCGCTAAATAATTAAATTATTGTTAAATAACCAAAAACGAGTACATCGATTGCGAGTTAATACAAGAAAACAAAAAAGCTAAAATAAATTAATATCCGGAATCGGTCGGAGGCTAGGTTGCGTCGTCGTCGATCTCGGGAACGACGGATGAACTACCACCACACTCAAAATGCAGCATAAACATCTATCGTATCCGTGACATCATCGTATACCGATGTCGATTATAGGTTCTCAACTCATTTATCGTATCCAACAACGATGCCACTTGGCCCTGTAGATTGTTGATAGTACCCTCTAAGTTATTGATGTGCGTCGTGTTTGCGGATGTTTGCTTTTGTAATTCCTTCAATTGTGCCTCATCGATTGCATTGAATCTAGAAGTAGCGAGAAGATGAGCCTACATTGACGAGTTGAATAGTAGTGAGATGCATGTGACCCAAGTCCGTACACCCTCTTTCTCCTACTATCTCCTCCACCAACGGCCCTGCGAAAGATGTCATTAATGTCGGGTGCGGTCGCTTTAGTCCCTCCCGAATGTCGGCTAGCAACCTCTTACTCATTAATTAATTTTTGTACGGTCTTCCGTATAATTATGAAACACATCATATTAAATACGTATATCAAATAATGTTATTAATTAACGAGATATTAAATAATGTTTCAAATTTATCACTTACTCGATAACCCTCGATCGTTGATCGACGAAGACTAACCGATCATTAATCTTTCTCCGATGAGTCCTCAACAAAACCTCATGAGGATCGGGTTCACGACCCAACACATTACGCCGAAAACATATATAAATAAACGTAAATGTATTAAATATAGTCAAATGTTTAATTAATTATTTTAGGTATTATTTTTAAAAAAATTATAAATAAATAAATTAATATATATTTTTTACCATACGTATGGCGTGCTCTCTATGGCTAATTGATCCCCCAGTATGTCTAGAAGGACCGGCTCCGACTCCATCGGTCTCGTTCCTACGGTTCGTGTTGCCATCTCGGATCGAGCAACGACCTCGGGTTTCATCCATTCCGTAGTCCATGCATCCCATATTTCTTGTGAGATATATGTTGGCTTCGGTTTTTTCTTAGATGATAAAGGAAGTCGAATATCGCTTCCGTGCGAGACTTTTCCATGCTTTCTTAACTATGCTCTCATTTAAATCATCATCCCATTTAAATGATTTCTATAAAAAAAAATAATAAACACTACTAAATTTATTTTCATATTATTTTATGCTATTTAATTAAATATTAAATAATATAATTAATCAAAATAAAATTTAGAAATTAGAACCTTAAATTCTTCCCGGTAAAAATCTTTTG